TCTTTGTGTCTTGGCGATTTAGCGCGTGGCTATGTCTTGTTGCTCCGGATGATGTCTTCTCCACTTACTTCACCTTAGAAATTGGACTAACCTGTCCGCCAATGGCACATGTTCAATGCAGTATTTCAAAAGACAACCTTGAATGCCATTATCTACTGGGACAACAAAGGTTATATATGCGCTCTGTAGCCTCCCAAGTCATTTGACATGTCAGCTGAAGCAACCCGTTCCCCTCGGAAGCTAACGTGTAATATGCATTATAGCGGGGCATGGGGGGTTGTAAGGCAGTGCTGGGTTTTGTGGGAGCTGAGAAAAAGTGGGAGCTGAGAAAAACAAGCTACTGTAGGTAACGTCAAATCAGAATCGAATGATATCGCTTTTTCTACCCTGTAGGTCTCAGCTCCGTCTTGCCCGGCTAAGTCTGGCCGAACAGCTCGCCAATCAACGTCGCATCTGGGACAAACCCCAGAATGCCATTGGAGATTCCTAGCTTCCATTGTTATTGTTATTATTTTCTCCAAGAAAACATTATTTTTGCAGAGAGCATGTCGCAGATCTCCGGGCCCATTCGGCCGCTGTCATTGTTCCAATCACAGTGTGCGGTTTAGACCACCTCCTCCTGCGAAGCTACTAAGTTAAACCATTGAATGTGCGAATATAGTTCGCGTCTATCAATTTAGCTAGGCAGTTGTATTCTGGGTTATCCATTAACCATTTAATAAGTGGCCTCGGCAAAAATGCCCTAAGACTTGACAGGGGAAATGCCATAAGACTTGAGATTTGACAGGGGATAGTCCGTATAGCATGTGCGAATCAGAGATATCTAATTGCTCATAACAGCCAGTGGGGCGTTCCTCTTCACCCAGGTCCACCTTACGCGAAGCATGACCACGAATGAAGACGCACCTGGGCTTTTAGAATGTGAGGTGCATTCAGCCGTACGCTCTGTTCGGCTGATGGCTCTCGGCTTACTCCGTGATTCCCCACGGGAGGCTTATAACAATATGTCCTATCCCATTTCCGCCGAACTGTTCGCATGATCATTCACTTCTTCTTTTCCTAACTACCTGTGATTGCTGTGTTCCTCTTTCGCTGCTTCCCCTATACACCAACTTTGAGTAGTTCCTAAGCTCTCCACCTTATTATCTCAATACCTAACCCTACCCAACTCTGCTTAACATATACCGGTAAGCTACCAATCGATACATTATTGTTATTATTATTTTCCTTTTGTTCGACTTCTACCTTGTACTGTTCGGGCCTGGCTCAAGGCCTTCTAAAACCTTTAGTCGCAAGGCATGATCCGGCTGAAATCTATGACATTGAAGTTAACGGGTTAATGACAGTTCGCACCCGAATTCCTGTATTATTACATTGTATTATATCGTCAATTCACTATGGCTGAAGAGTCCAATTCCAGCAACAAACTTGCTCAGATCGAGCAAGTTGTGACTGCAGCCTTGCGGCCCCTGCCCACCCAAACTGGCGATGGCAGCTATATACAAGAGCCAACTGTGACGGGGCTTGCTAAGGACCTGCTCCATTTTGACCTGAAAGATGCCAAAACTTTGGCGGAGGTTGCCAAATCTGCCCTAACTGGTGAGGCTATGAATGACAGAGATTATATCATGGAGCGCGTGATTCAGGTTTGTGATTCAGTGAGGAATTGGCTGTGTACTCACTCTAACTCCTCTACAGCTTGCTGCTGGCTTGCCTTCGACATCTCGAAATGGCAAGGAACTGACTAATACCTTCCTCACCCAACTGTGGGGTGATTTGGAGCACCCGCCTATCTCGTGAGTTGTGCAATGCGACGTTGATCTGTGTGGAAAATGTCGGGTAGTGACTGACTGGTGATGCAGCTATCTTGGACGCGATGCGGCATACCGGAAGGCTGATGGATCTGGAAACGTAGGAATTGTCCCCTGACAGGTTGAGAATCTCTGCTAAACTGCCCTAGAACACCTTCTGGCCTCAGATTGGTGCTGCTGGCACTGCATATGCACGGTCTGTTCGTCCGAAGACTATGCTGCCTGCTGCTCTCCCAGAGCCAGAGGCACTTTTCGATAGCCTCTTGGCCCGGAAAGATTTCAAGGAGCACCCGAACAAGATTTCTAGTGTGCTATTCTATCTTGCCTCTGTTATCATTCACGGTAGGTTATCGCCTGTTGAGATCTCTGCAATGAGAGATGGTAGAATCATCGAAGCTAACAGGCCTCAGACTTGTTCCAAACGGATCCCAGAGACCAAACGAAATCATTGACATCCTCGTACTTGGACTTGTCTCCGCTTTATGGTAACAACCAGAAAGAACAGGATACAGTCAGGACATTCAAAGATGGAAAGTTGAAACCCGACTGTTTTTCCACCAAGCGGATTTTGGGATTCCCCCCTGGCGTTGGCGTCCTTCTCATCATGTTCAACCGTTTCCACAACTCGGTTGTTACCCAATTGGCAGCTATAAATGAATGTGGCCGTTTTACGAAGCCCAATGAGTCAAATGCCGAAGCATATGCCACCTGGGATAATGATCTCTTCCAGACCGCAAGACTGGTTACTTGTGGTCTTTATGTTAACATCATTCTAAAGGATTATGTCCGGACCATTCTCAACGTCAACCGAACTGACAGTGTGTGGAGTTTGGATCCCCGTGCCGAAATGAAGGATGGCTTGCTCGGCCAGGCACCTGCTCAGGCTACCGGAAACCAAGTATCTGCCGAATTCAATCTTGTTTATCGCTGGCATTCTTGTGTCTCAGCTCGGGACGAAAAATGGTCAGAGGATCTTTATAAAGAGCTGTTCAGTGGACAAGATCCCAAGCAGCTTAGCTTCCAAGAATTCACGGGGGGTCTTCGCCAATGGGAATCAAAGCTCCCAGCAGATCCTCAAGAACGTCCTTTCGCCAAATTGCAACGCCAAGCAGATGGAAAATTCGATGATAATGATTTGGTCAAGATATTTGAGGAAGGTGTTGAGGATCCTGCTGGAGCTTTCGGTGCTTTGAATGTGCCGGATGTTTTCAGAGGTGTTGAAGTTCTCGGCATCAAGCAGGCACGCTCTTGGAATTTGGCTACTTTGAACGAATTCCGTCAGTACTTTGGTTTGGCTTCCTATCAAACCTTTGAAGAGATCAACTCAGACCCATACGTTGCGGACCAGCTTAAGCATTTCTATGACCACCCCGACCTTGTTGAGTTGTACCCGGGCCTCATTCTCGAAGAGGCCAAACAGGCTATGACTCCGGGTAGCGGTCTATGCACCAATTTCACAACCTCCAGGGCCATTCTCTCAGACGCCGTTGCTTTGGTTCGTGGTGATCGTTTCTATACTGTCGACTTCACACCGAAGCATCTTACAAACTGGGCATATAATGAGATCAAACATGACGTTTCCGTTGACGGTGGTCAGGTCTTCTACAAACTGGTCCTGAAGGCCTTTCCCAATCATTTCCGCGGCGACTCGGTTTACGCACACTTCCCGATGGTTGTGCCTGACGAAAACAAGAAGATCCTGGCCAGCCTTGGTAAGGCTAAAACCTACAGTTTTGACCGACCATTCTATAAAGCCCCGGCCGTCTTCATCAACTCTCACTCTGCCTGCGAAAAGATCTTGAAAGACCAAGAAGGATTCAAGGTAGGGTGGGGTGACAAGATTCAATTTTTGATGGAGAATAGCGGCCGTCCTTATGGCCGAGACTTCGCCTTGTCGGGTGATCTCCCTGCTAACGCGGCTTCTCGAAAGATGCTTGGTGCTGCTCTACAGCGTGGCAAGTGGGAATCAGAAGTGAAGGCCTTCTACGAGGACATTACACTGAAACTCCTCGAACGAAACTCATACAAGGTTGCTGGCGTCAATCAGGTCGACATCGTTCGTGATGTTGCCGTTCTCGCCCAAGTTAACTTCTGTGCCAACGTCTTCTCCCTGTCTCTCAAGACAGAGTCAAATCCAAGAGGCGTGTTCAGCGAGCAGGAGTTGTACCAGATTCTGGCTGTGATATTCGCTTCTATTTTCTACGATGTTGACGTGTCCAACTCTTTCCAACTTTGCCAGACTGCTCGTAATGTTGCACAGCAGCTGGGCGAGTTGACGCTAGCTAACGTCGAACTCGTTGCTAAGACTGGATTCATTTCCAACCTGGTCAACCGCCTACACCGCCATGATATCTTGAGTGAATATGGCGTCCACATGATCCAACGCTTGCTCGACAGCAAGTTACCCGTTAAGGACGTTGTGTGGTCGCACATTCTTCCCACGGCTGGTGCTTTGGTTGCCAATCAAGGCCAGCTTTTCTCCCAGTGCATCGATTATTACCTCTCCGAAGAAGCGGCGGAGCATCTCGTTGAGATTCAGCGCTTGTCTAGGGAAGACACTCCTGAGGCCGACGAGCTTCTTGTGCGATAGTAAGTTCCTCTATACCTTGTTAGGATTTAAGTGGCCATACTAACTGTATGCAGCTTCATGGAAGGAGCGAGACTCCGATGCTCGGTGGCATTGCCACGCTTTGTCAATAAGCCAACGGTGGTCGAAGATAACGGTGAGAAGGTCACTTTGAAAGCTGGCCAGGAGATCATTTGTAACTTGGTAAGTCCTTGGGTGTCTATCCTTTGTCTTGGCATTCAGATATTAACAGACCGTACGAAATATAGGTTGTTGCAGGCCGCGATCCTGTTGCGTTCCCCGATCCCGACAAGGTCCGTCTTGACCGTGATATGAGCTTGTACACTCACTTTGGCTTCGGTCCTCATGAATGCCTGGGCGTTAAGATGTGCCCTCTTGCACTTTCCACTATGCTCAAGGTTCTTGGGCGACTGGATAATGTCCGTCGCGCCCCCGGGCCCCAAGGCCATCTGAAGAGGCTCGATGGACCGGGAGGAATTGCAATGTATATGGATGCCGAGCACGGTAGCTTCTCTCCGTTCCCCACGACTATGAAAATCCAATGGGACGGAGATCTGCCTGCCAGGAAGGAGTAAAGTCTGTATATCTGAGAATTTCAAACGATGTGGATTTTGTTTGAGAGATCTCTATAACAAGGCTGGTTGCTTGTACAGCGTGCATGCGTTGTCCTCAGAGATGTGGCTCACCGCGCATCAATAAAATTGGAGCTAGCTTTGAATCTGGAGTCCCACATCCATTCTTTTAAAAAGAAAAAAAAGTAGTTGCGAGACTGTAGTTAAGTAAATTTCAGTGTATTTCTCTGTATAATAAAATCCAACAATTCCAAGGTTCACCTTTTGTGCTGAAGATAAGTGAAAAAACAATCGATGCCTCAGGCCTAGCGGGGGAAATCAGCCAGAGAGCCGCTCCGCCCTTCTGCCTTCTGCCGGCAAGACCAGCTTCTCTTCACGTTGGCTCGTCCTTTCTCTCTTCTTTTTTTATCAACCAACCCCCCCTCCTGTCATCTTTTCCTTTTGACATACCCTTCTCACTACCTCTACGTCATACTTTGAGGGATAACGACCTGCACCCGTTTTTCCTTATTTGACCGACTTCCCGATATCTCATCCTCTCATCCTCTCAGCTCTCGAGTTGAGCTTTCTTACTCAAATTCCTTCACGATTGGTTGGTAAATTCGATTTAGTATCTCTTTGGGTTACTTTTTTATTGACAGTGAGACACTTCCCAGGTGTTGATCACGCCGAGTCGATTCGATTTTCGTTGAGGCAGCAAAGCAGCACCAAAAACGTCATAAGGCATCTTCGCGCTTCCTCCGCGACACCGGTCTTTACGACCTTCTCACTCCACCCTCTCTAGGAGACAACCCTCCTGGAATCTCTCAACTCCCTCATGTTTGACTGGCCCACCGATCGTTATCATGGGGAGAATTAAGAAGGTAGCCAGCCAAAAGCATGAGGCTACGATCGTAAGTTACTCTCCTCCGGCCTGACGTGCAACCCAACTAAAAAATTTTCCTTTTATCACAGTCACCTTTTTTGCAAGAATTCATAGCGCGTGCCACAAGTCTTCCCGTTCCAGAGCTCCCGTCACTTCTCAACACATTCCCTAAGCTATGGCCGTTCCCACGTGGTGATCTCTACCATTGGATCAATGTCCTAGACCGATTCGACGAGATTCTAGCCTCAGCTGTGGAGAAATACTTCCTGAATACTGGCCCTCAGACCCAGCTGTTTACCCGAAGTGTTTTGGAGGAATTATACTCGGCCGATGAGAGCAAGAAGCCATCAGAGGGTGTTGATGCTAAACTAAATGCCCTGGGATATGGCCCTGAAGGAGATAGAGAGCTTGTGGAAGCAGTTCTTGATTTCTCCCGTCTTTTGCTCGAGAAATGTGGGAACCGCAGCCTGTACAGCAGCAGCGATCGCTTGGGTGATCTGTTGAATACCACCTCACTCTCTCTCCTACAATCTACATTGCGACTGTCTCTTTGCTTAGCCCAACGATACCACTCTCGCCAGCGTGGCACCCATCAACAGTCCGTATTGCAGTCCCACTATGCTCTTGACCTCGAAAAGTTGCAGAAGATTGCAGCTCCTTTCCCGCGTCCAGTCATCGCTAGTAAAACACCGTTTGCCGCGTCTCCCGCCGTTTCAACCAAGGGGAAGGAAACTACAGCCCAGACCAAAATCAACGCCAATGAACTGGTTTCCCTCGTGCGTGATGGCGATGGCTGGGAGGAATGGGGAGATGTTCGAGTTCTGTACTATCCCTCGGGCTCTGAACAGGTCAGAACAACCTCCGAATTTGGTCACACAGAGCAGGGCTCCCACGTTCCAACCACACCAACCCCACTGCGACGCAGTGCAACACACCCCACTCATTCCAATCAGGGCTCGAATGGAGATGAATCACCAGCTGTCGCTGGTGGAAAGGCAGAAGAGGCCACACGAGCGGGGAAAGTCCTAGAGCTTTCCTATTCGAAAGTTTCAGCTGCAAAGGTGGAAGATCTTCTTGCGGCCAATTTGCCTCATCTGCCCCTTGAATCAAAATATGAGCTGCTTCAAAAGCTTCGAGTCGCTAAGGCGTTGACAGGGTCGCGTGCCACGCGAGAACAGATCCTTTCCATCAAGGCACTGGCAGTGACCAACCTGGCCCATGTCCAGCCGGAGAGTACCTTCCAATCAAAGGTTCTCCAAACTGACCTAGAACAACCAAAGCGTCTTCAGCTTGCTTACCAGCTTGCTGAGGTGGTTCATCTCGGTGCTAGTGGTGACCTCGAGGTCTCCCGGTCTGTCCAAACTTTGGCGATCCAGGCACTGGATGCATTGGCCAAGCACAAGGCTCGTGCGGTTGACGTCTGCGCAGCTTTGAGTGTCAATGTCAACCACGGAATTCTGATGTTCTTAACCCGTAAAATGGTCAATGAACTAGGCCCTGAGAACAACGACCCGGATGATGCTTACCACGATGAGTGGCGAGATGCTTTGCTTGCTCTCCTACGCACTCTCCCAAGCTCTAGCACACGTACACCGGAGACCTTGGTTGCAGCAGGTCTGATCCCCATGTTCGTTGATATTTTGAATCTGCGGACTGAAAAATCCCGCCGCGTCTATTCCCGTATCATGGAGTTCCTTGACACATTTGTGCATGCGGTCCGGGATGCACTGGGTACCCTGACAACAGCAAAGGGTTTTGACGCCATGTCTGATTTGATTGACCACGAGACCAAGACCGCGTTTGAGAAAGTTAACCGCGGGGATGGATTCCCTGCTCAATACAAGAACCCTTCGATTGACTATCAAATTCCTTACTTCCAGCAGCAGACCCTGCGCTGGATGTTCCGTTTTGTCAACCATATCATGCAGCACAATGGCGGAGGATTTGATCGTGTTCTGCGAAACTTGATCGATTCGCCTCAGCTGTTGACTTCTCTTCGACTTGTGTTCGAGAATGCTCGTGTGTTCGGCTCACATGTTTGGAGCAATGCTGTCAACATTCTCAGCAGCTTCATTCACAATGAGCCTACTAGTTATGCTGTCATCGCCGAGGCTGGCCTGAGCAAAAGCCTTCTTGCCGCCGTCATGGGTCGTGAACTTCAGGTGCTGGAGAAGCCGCCGGCTGTGGAACCCGAAGACCGCGATACTGAGGCTGAGACCGAGGCGGAACCCGCCGCCACTCAACCGCCTAGTGCTGAAGCCGCTATTCAGTCTGAGGAAAAACAGCAAGATCGCGAGTATGCTATCGTCAGACCCCAGAACACCCCTCTCGCCCCTGGCATTATGCCCGCAGCTGATGCTCTTGCTTGTATCCCTGGTGCATTTGGAGCTATCTGCTTGAACTCCTCTGGTTTGGACCTATTTCAGTCCTCCGATGCACTGGAAAGCTTCTTCGAGATCTTCGAGAACCCTGAGCATGTCAAGTGTCTGAAGGATGACGCAGAACTGGTTCGTTCGTTAGGCACGACCTTTGATGAGCTTGTCCGACACCACCCGGCATTGAAGACCTCTATTATGTCTGCTGTTCTTGTAATGGCTGCTCGTGTCAACATTCTGGGGCGAGTCAAGGCATGGGAGCTTGGTATGGGCACAAAGATGTGGACTCAAGACGCCGACGGCAAAACAACTCTTTTAGGAGATGTCTTTTCATTGTTCCGAGAGATCGGCACAGCTGTTGATGCACCCACAGACGACCCTGCCTCGCTTGGTGCTCCCCAGCTCAACGTCAACACTCTTCCTAACGGTGCTAAGCTTGTTGTTGGGGATCTGGATCATGTTCTTCCTTCGCCAGGCCCCGACTTCGAGCCTCAAGATAAGGATGCTTATGGTCTCTCGGTTACGGACTACCTGTTCCCAGCTTTGCGATTCCTGGGCGCTTTCTTCGAGAATCAAACGAACTGCACATCCTTCATCCTCGCTGGCGGTACAGAGTTTTTGTTGGATCTTGCGACACTCCAAAGCTTGGCATTTGATTTCCACAGCACCAACGCCAACCAAGAGATCACTGTGCTTGTTCACATGCTCGCGGAGACGAAGCCTCACCTCGTTCTCCCGTCCCTCGTTCGACGCGCACAGGCAGCAGTGGACAATCTTTCGGCCTTTTGGACTGCGCCCACTGGATCAGGATTCTTTACAGAATTGATTCAGCCAGCAGACTCGAAAAACCCAGCCCTTGAACCTACGGCTGCTGCTAAATCTGGCACATTCTTCGTGAGGCACTTGAATGCCGTTCTTCTCCTCACCGACGTCCTTCGCGAGGTTTTCGCGTCACCACTGTACCAAACTCGCCCTGGCCAATCCACTTCCATCTTTGGCCAAGCCAATCTTGCGGACCACTACTGTTCTCTAATCTCTTCATTGAGCAACCTTCTTGCTTCTTGCGTGTGGGAAGGGATTTTGCTAGAGAAGAACATCCCTGAGAAGTGGCTGAAAGCGACACAGGCCTCTGCTGAAAAGCATGGCTCTGGGAAGTCAAAGGCTATTCCAGTTGGTGGGAACCCCCAGGAGCCTTCAGCAACGTCTGGCGCCGAACCTCAACAGGAGAGCACTACTGCACCAGAAACTGCTCCGGCTCAGCCGGGCCAGGGCCTAAACGAAGACGACACGGAAGTTGATGAACAGTGTCCGGCTTTCAAGAATGCGCGTACGCTTCGCTACCTTCTAAGCGCTCTACCAACTTCGATTACGGGTTTCTTGCACAACCTCGGACTCGGTATTATCGGCAAGAGACGCACAGATCCGCTCCAGAAACAGAAGGCGAATGCTATCCTAGTCTCAGACGCCATTGCTGAAGGTATTCTTCGCCAACTGCAGTTCAACCCTGCCAATTCGAGTGATAGCCCCAAGCACCGGTTCGCATATCTCATTGTCGTTCTTTCCCACTTCTCGCACCTTCTCTATGAAGTCTCAGCAGACCGTCCCAGTCCCAACTACTTGACTTCAGTTCTCGTTTCATTCAATAAGAACAACGGCCTCAAAGTGTTGAAGGACATTTGTAGCGTCTTCCTGGGCGATATCAAGTCCCTCCCATCTGCGGAGTCCATTCCGGACCAGGACAAAGAGCTTGCTGACCGGCTTGCATCTGGGTATGGTGGAATTAAGATAATTCTTGGGTTATTCGCAGACCTCACCTCTGGGAAATTCATTGTGGACTCTAGCCAGACACAAGCCTTGACTTCTCACCCTGAACGAGACCGAGACCGTCCCGATTACTTCCAGCCAGGTCAACTCTTGGTGGAACTTCGCATGGAAATTTTGCCCATGGCCAAAGACATGTGGAACTCGGACTTTGCGACTCAGTCATCGAGTCCAATCGTCCGATTGTTGATTGATATCATGCGGTGCTCCTTGGATGGTGAATACGAGGCTGGCGCGGCTCGTAAAGCAGATACCCCGCCTATCTTGGTAGAGATGCCCAAAAAACCATTCGTCGTCCACACGGAACGAGCAACTGCCTTACTCGAGAAAGGGTACATGGATGTTGATCTTAACAAAGAAGCCCTCTATCGTTGCAACAATCTT